TGTCCCCACCACTGTCCCCACCACACTCCCACTCTCACTATTGTCCCCCCTGTCCCCACCACTGTCTCACTGTCCCCACTGTCCCCACCACTGTTCCACTGTCCTCACTGTCCCCACCACTGTCCCACTGTGCTGTCCCCACTGTCCCCACCACTGTTCACTGTCCCCACTGCTCTCCCCACTGTCCCACTGTCTCACCACCATGCTCACCACCGCCCCCACCACTGTCCCCACCACTACCTTTCCCTACCATTGTCCCACTGTCCCCGCTGTCCCCACCTCTATCCCACTGTCCCCTCACCACTGTCCCCACCACCACCGTACCCACCACTGTCCCACTGTCCCCACCACTGTCTCACTGTCTCCACCACCACCGTCCCCACCACTGTCCCACTGTCCCCACCACTGACTGTCCCACTGTCCCGAGGGGAGCGGGAATCGTTTGCTGGCGGCGAGGAGGGGGGGATTCGAACTGGTAATGACCCCCCCCCCTTTCATGATGGACTGCGGGGGGGGGGGGTCGAACCGGTAGTGACTCCCCCCTCGGTTTTCGAGGGGGGGGGACGGGATGGAAACCCCCAGCGACCCCCACCCGGGTTGTTTGCCAGCAGCGGCAGAGCACGCCTTTTCAAAACATCAAATCGTCGGAGATCTGGGGCCGGGGGTCGCGAACCGTTCCCCAGACCTCTCCTGAGGTGCGCCCTGCCCAGAACCTCGAGGCGGACCCAGTAGGAGACATGAGAAGCCTCCTGGATACCCAGAAGCACAAAGCAGAGTCGATCCTCGAACGCCGATCCTCGCAGAGCCGCCCAGATCGAAAACGCCGGATCGTCGGATATCAGGGGCCGAGGACGGAAGAAGGAAACAATTCGTGGACACTCCCCTCCAAAGTTGGCCCGCGCAGGGGAGACTGCGGTCGAAGTGCAACCCGTCGGACCCACCGCCAACTCTGAACATTGGGGGGAGGGGGAGGCGTCGATAGAAATAGGGGAAAAAACATAATCATCAACATTTGACGCTCCGCGCGGATTACTTGGACCTGCGGAGCGCACTAGGGGCGGCGCCAGAGGTGGCGCCGGGGGGCCCCAGCGCGGATCCAAGAAATCCACTCGGAACGTCAACAATTCATGCTTATCGGTGTGGTCGGAAACGGTATTTGGTTGCAGACGATAGCAGACGATTTGCAGCCGAAAAGGGACGATAGCATACGATAGATGACGATTGCAGATTGCACGCAAGCAGCCCTTAATAGGTCCTATCGTCTGCTATCGTCTGCATCAGACGACAGCAGACGATAGCAGACGGCTGCGGGCCCTGGCAGCCCTTAGCCGGTCCTACCGTTTGCTATCGTCTGCTGCAGACGATAGCAGACGATAGCAATCCATATGGCCAGCTACGGGCCGCCAGGAACCGCCGCAGACGAGAGCAAACGATAGCAGACGATACAGTCGGATGAAAAAATTGGAAACGAAATGGTCCACTTTTCGAATGGAAGCATTGGAATTCACATCATATCAGCGGCAACTCACATCAGTCACATCCAGCGCTGCACGCACGTCGAGCCGACGTGGGCCAACAGGTTGACCAGAATTCGGCACCGCTTGGATCGCGCCTGGGCGGCGGTCCCATCCGCTCGGCGGCGGCCCCGTCCGCGCTCGAACCGCCTTGAGACTGTCCGATTCCTAATTTAGTATAATAAATAATGAGAGTCGGGTGAGTCTCAAAATCTGCACGACATGGTCCAAATTCACACACCAGACGCGTCCGATGGCGGTCTCAAAGCGGTCTCAAGCAAACTCGATGGGTCTCAAAATGCCCGGAAACCCTCGGCACTGAGCGCATCCGCCAGTCTCACATGGTCTCAAAATGCCACGAAACCCTCGGCGCCGAACGCAGTCGCGCGTCTCAAAGGGTTTCAAATCGCTCCGAAACCGTCGTCGCCGAGCACATCCGCGAGCCCCACATGGTCTCACAATGCCACAAAACCCTCAGCGCTTACCACCCCTTACAATGGCGCTGCTGTTTCTCTATCCGCGGACGCGTGTCAGCGGAACCGTGACTCCCACAAGGGCCGCGTCTTGCAAGATCAGGGGGTAGAATGTACGTGTGGTGGTGGCGTGCATGGTGGTGGTGGCGGCGGCGTGTGTATGTGTGTGTGTGTGTGTGTGTGTGTGCGTGTGTGTGTGTGTGTGTGTGTGTGTGTGTGTGTGCGTGCGTGCGTGCGTGTGTGTGTGTGTGTGCGTGTGTGCGCGCGTGCGTAGCGGTTGGTGGTGCGCGTGCGTGCGTGCGTGGTGGTATCTGCGTGCGCGTAAATACGGCGACGCACTGCAATGCGACCGCGTGCGATGCAACGCAAGGCCATGCACAGCAACGGAGCCGAAACGGCAGCACGCAGTGGACTAAATCTGGACATCGCGCTTTGACGCAATGCATTCAGTACCACTGCAACCCTAATGGCGACGCCGCGAAGAACGTGGCCCCAACGCGAGCGCGAAATCCA